CTTGACGCTCACCTGCCACTCTTTCCCTGTCGCAGGGTTACTCTGGCTTACTCTTGCAGCTAGTTATTAATTATATGCAAGTACATAATGTGGACTCTGGACATTATGCATCGCTTATCCACCAGTCTCGCTATTCCCTTGCCATCATTCTACTCTTGTCATTGTTATCTCTCTTATTCAGCTTATTTTGATCCTTATACCAAATGCCATGCACCTATTGTGACACATCCGTTGTACATCATTATGATACTTGCTGTTCCTCATCCGTCTGCTTATTACATGTGGGGTGCTATCATGTTTGAGATCCTGTTTCAACTAATCATCACATTGGTTAATGCCATGTGCTGGTCAACTCATTTCCCTGCTTTCGCCAGGGCTGCATGCTGGTCACAACTGATGACTTGGTCACAGACTTTACATCATTTCTATGTCATGAATTAGTATTTTTCAATAATATAACTTTACGCACAACGAGATCCCGGGACCCTCAAACACCCACACAGACCCACACGGACCCACATGGACCCACAATGATTACCATTTTTGGTAATGTCACAACATCATTTTTCACATCATTGGCAATGTCCTTCAGGTCCATGGAGCATAGTCACTGCAAATCATACTCTTAATTCCACTGAGTCAGGGTGTGATATGTGTACTGCAGAGTGTGTGCAGGATTCTGGCATGGTGGATGAGTAATGATATAGGCTTGAATCATCACAAGAGGTGGGGATCCATAGAAAGTGGACGGAGGACTCTGCCATGTTCAGTGGATACCGAAGGCAACTCGTAATGGTTTGAATGGGGCAGTACAGCAATCCCCGTCACAGTCGCTCCACTTCTGAGTGAGTAATCACTTGATCACATTTAATTAGCAGTCAAAATCCATAGGGAGTGAATGGAGGACTCTGGCATTTTTGTTGGATACTGAGACAAACTCGTAATGGCTTGAATAGGGGAGTACAGCAAGCGTCAGTTCAGTTGCTTCAATTCCGAGAGAGTTATCACTTGATCACATTTAGTTACTAGTCGAAATCCATAGAAAGTGAACAGAGTACCCTGGCGTGTTCCGTGGATACTAAAGGCGACTCATAATGGGTGGAATAGCTGGTCACAACAATCCCCATCACAGTCGCACCACTTTGGAGTGAGTAGTCACTTGAATGCATTTAATTACTGGCCGAAATCCATAGAAAGTGAATGGTGGACTCTGGCATGTTTAGTGGATACTGAAAGGGACTCGTAATGGTTTGTATTGGGGGGTGCAACAATCCCCATCACTGTCGCTTCAGTTCTCGTGGAGTAATCACCTGGTCACATTTATTTCCTAAGCAAAATCCGTGAAAAGTGAACAGAGGACCCTGACATGTTCAGTGGATACTGAAAGTGACTAGTAATGGCTGGAATGGGGGAGTACAACCAGCTGCAATTGAGTCGCTTCAATTCTGAGTCAGTAATCACTTGATCACATTTAATCATGACTCAAAATCTGTAGAATGTGAATGGCGGACTCTGGGGTGTTCGGTGGATATTGAAAGGGACTCGGAATGGTTGGAGTGGATGAGTCCAACAATCCCCATCCCAGTTGCGTCAATTCTGACTCATTTATCATTTGATCACATTTAATTGCTGGTCGTAATCGATGGAACGTGAACAGCGGACTCTGGCATGCTTGGTGGATACTGAGAGGCACTCGTGATGGTTTAGATTGGGGAGCGCAACAATGCCCATCACAGTCGCTCCACGTCTGAGTGAGTAATCACTTGGTCATATATGATTACCAGTTGAAATCCATGGAATGTGAATGATGGACTATGACGTGTTCGGGGGATACTGAAAGGGACTCGTGATGGCCAGAATGGGAGAGGACAACAATCCCCATCACAGTTGCTTCACGTCTGAGTCAGGAATTGCTTGATGAGGTATAATTGCAAGGTGAAATCCATGGAAACTCAACGGTGGACTCTGGCGAGTATGGTGGATACTGAATCAGACTCGTAATGACTGGAATAGGGGAGTCCAACAATCCCCATCACAGGCGCTCCAGTTCTGAGTCAGTAATCACTTGATCAGATATTGCTCCAAGTGGAAATTAGTAGAAACTCAACGATGGACTCTGGTGAGTTCGGTGGGTACTGAATCAGACTCGTAATGAATGGAATAGGGGAGTCCAACAATCCCCATCCCACTCGCATTAGTGCTGAGTGAGGAATCACTTGATCAGATATTGCTCCAAGTGGAAATTAGCAGAAACTCAACGATGGACTCTGGTGAGTTCGGTGGGTACTGAATCAGACTTGTAATGGATGGAATAGGGGAGTCCAACAATCCCCATCCGTCTCTCTTCAGTTCTGAGTCAGTAAACACTTGATCACATTTAACTCCAAGTCAAAATCCATAGAAAGTGAACGGAGCACTCGGGTGTGTTCGGTGGATACTGAAGGGGACTCGTAATGGTTTATATGGGGGATTACAACAAGTGTCGGTTCATTTGCTTCAATTCCGAGTCAGTAATCACTCAATCATGCTCAATTCCCTGTCAATATCCATACTGGACCAGTCCAGGCTGGTTGTGTGCAGGAGTCCTAATGGTATGCAGCCAAACATTCAAGATGATATCCATGCCCTTCGGTAAGTTGGCGTTGGCATTGTTAACTGCCATGAAATATCTCAGCATAATGTAACAGTTATGGTGAGATGTTTCAGCTTCACATTATACACCATATGGTGTAGGCAGTCTCCTCTGTACTGTATGGATTATCAGCATACTGTAAATCCTGAGTTGGTGCATATTCACAGAATCTTGTACTTATGCATGTCACGTAAGGTCAGACCTGCCTACGCCATGGTCTGTGACCCTACGTGAGAATATAAGTGAAATGTACCAGTTCAGGTAGGCCGAAGGGCAGGTGATGGGTTAAGCTATGTGTGGGTACATGTTATGGGCTGCATTCGGTGCTACCATGAACAGGCGGGATCTCCAGAAGGGATTGTCGGGGGCTCTTTTCAAACCTGAAACTCGTGTGGGTACCCGTACCCAACCCATCAACATGAGTTTTGTTGAAATATTCATAGCAAACAGAAGAGCTTGCCCCGAGCGGTCGGTTGCCCAAAGGGCAATCGCGTATGGTACGTCGAGTAGATACAACAAATATATAATATTTTCTTATAATCTTATAAGTCAGGCCCGGTCCCACCTGACCACGCGCCACACAGCCGAGCTTGCAAGCTCGAACCCGAAATCCGGAACCTAACTGGTTTGTGCGATACGGGAACACACAGCGCCACTCACGGCTCTATCAGTTCAGTGCCGTATTGGGCGGCTGAGATTCGGCTTGCCACACCACGTTCAGTGAAACATGCACATAGACACACCACTCAGAACTGGAGCACAACTTCAGGTATATATAGAATGTCAGGTATGTCTAGGAGGTACTACTACAGTATGATCAATATCAGAGAAGTACAGATACGAGACGTGGCAATTGACACATGCTGTAACCCCCCACATACTGCACGACTGACAAGGCATGACATAAGTATAAGG